GGGGCGGCCATATAGCTCGAAGACTCGAGTGGCAGCCTCGTACCGGTAGGCGAAGTGTAGGGCGACCCCCCACTAAATGCACTGACGACCTGAAAAGACATGCAGGAAGTCGATGGATGCAGGTGGCTAAGGACCGTGTTTTGTGGCATTCCTTGGGGGAGGCCTAAGTTCAGCAGTGAACTTATGAAAGGCTGTAATGATGATGACGAAGCGGAAGTGGCAATGGGCCTGTCATATAGCTCGCAGAACTGACAACTGATGGGGAAGAAAGGTTCTCGAGTGGCAGCCTTGTATCGGTCGACGAAGTGTAGGGTGGCCCCCCACTAAAGGGAGTGACGACCTGGTAAAACATGCAGGAAATTGATGGATGCAAGTTGCTCAGAACCATGCTTTGTGGCATTCCTTTGGGGGGAGGGGGGGGGGGCTTTGTTCAGCAGTGGGCTTTTGAAGGACTGTAATGATGGTGATGAACTTTATTATAAATTTTTTTAACAGTGGAAGTTTTTAAACACTTAGTAACTAAGCTATTGAAGATCGGTTCGAGCCATGTGATCTTGAAAATTTGGATGATGATGATAACGAGAAGAATATTCGAAAGGATGTAGTTTCTGATGATTCTCGGGATGATATACGAGTGACTTCTTTGAAGTTTTCTAGGAAAGAAGACAGTGAAAAATAGAAGATGTTTCATGGTACATCCACTGTAGCCCAAAGTGCCGTCCTCGGTAGTGAAGCCGCCAAAAACTTCCCCCTGAAAACCCACGAATAAAACCATATGCTACGGAATGTGTAACATTTTAGTTTCCTCATAAGCTCATAGAATAAGTACATAGAGCAACACGGGCCACAGGCGAATAGCCATAGCGTTTTTTCCCAATACATAACTGTCTGTCACTACGAAAGTCACACATAACGTTTCAAAAAAAAAACTAATTATTTCACACACACGTAGATACCTTATAACAATATTGCTCGGTGACAGCGAAAAGTCTGATACAGATTCTCATCAGTTGCTCGACCGATCTGCATATTGTATTAGTGATATTATGAATAAAATGTTAACTAGTAAATTTAACCCTAATAGTATATTAATAATTTTTGTTGGGAGAAGAGGCAATATGAACAAGAATCAATTATTAAAATATATTGAATATCTCAATTACATAAATGTGGTTAAAGTTATCTTGTTTACATTGCCTTACATCGAGGGGTGGCCACAGGAAAATAAACTAAGACATAATTTAAATTTAATGATGCATAACTTGACATGTAACAATAACTTAAATTTGACATTTAATTGTAAAAATAATAATGATAAATTTCATTTGATTGTTATTAATAATTTAACTAAGAAGTTTTTGACAAGAGATAGCTATTACCTATCAAAGTATAGTTTAAGACTGGTAGCATATACGCTATCTTATTATTTATATTTTAACTCAGTCAATGATTTGGCTACATATGCCTTGACACCTGCTTCTTTTGAGCAACAAAATAATTTTTCATTTGATTTGGAACCAGTTCCAAGTAATTTAAATTAAATAATAAGACAATAGAGGTAATCTCTAGCAAAGATAATTTGAATAGCTTAGAATGCAACTTACCAATACATAATTATGCAATTTCACAAAATAACAATAATAAAAACTGTATCAACCCGGTGCATCAAAATATACAAGGTATGTTAGGCAAAGAATTAGAAATTGAATTATTTTTAAATAGTAACAGTATACATATTTTATGTATTACTGAACATTGGTTAAAGATTACAACTCTATATTTAATTTCAGTAATCACCAGGTGGTGATTACTGAAATTTTTGTTCGTTCGTTCAATAGAGATACTAAATTACGTGGTGGCTCCTTAATATTAGCTAATAAATCCTTATCATGTAAAGAACGTAAAGACATTGTGAGCCTCTCTGTTGAGCGTACTGTAGAAATGGCATGTGTTGAGCTTGAGCACCTTATTGTTGTCAGTGTTTACAGACCCCCATGTTCAAGTTATGATACTTTTGAAAAAATTATGGAAGAAGTTTTAGTTAAGCTTAATAAACAGAATAAATCTCTTGTAGTGTGTGGAGACTTTAATATCAATCTCCTGGAAACTTCTTCCATCAGTATTAAATATTGCTCTTTGTTCAAATACTATAATCTTAATAATTTATTCTTTGAAGCTACACGTATTGCAGGGTGTAGTGCAACTTGTGTTAATAATATTTTTACAGGTGTTGTACCAATCAACAAATTAATAATTCAAAAACTTAGTTCAGATCACTGTGGACAACTGGTTTCGTTACATTATATGCACAAAAAACTGGTAATTGAGAAAATTGTGTTTGTTCCTATTAATGCAAAACGCCTGGGGAGATTTAGAAGTAATATGCTAAAAAACCTTTCATCCCTTTCTCATAAGAACAATGCTGATTATATAGAGAATTATTTACCCTTATAAACAATGAAGTTAATAAAACATTCACTTCTAATACATTCTCCAGAAACAGTCGCAAGGCATTTAATGAGTGCGCGTCAGTAGGAATTCATAAAAGCAGACGAAGGTTATATGACCATGAAAGATCGTATAATCTTTCCGATGCTTTTAAAGAATATGTAACAAATTATTCTAAAACGTTTAAAAGAGTTTGCTCCACAGCCAAATCATTACATATTAGTAACAAAATTAAGACGGCCAAGAATAAAATTAAAATGACGTGGAGTATAATTAACAGCGAAACCGGTAAAGAGAAACCTCGTAACTCAAACTATTAATTAAAAATTAATAATGAATTGACTAAATCAAATCAAGAAGTTGCAGCGGTGTTTGAGAAATATTTCACTGATGTTCCTATCTTGACAACAGAGTCATTAAATACTTCTCCAACTGTCTCCGAGTCATTACTTAAACAGAATGTTAATACCTGTTTAAAAGAATTTAGTTTTGAAAAAGTATTACCGCATAATATTGTAAAATACTTCAAAACCATTGCTGTAAAGAAAACCGCAGATTTGTGGGGGATTTCCGTTACAGTGATTGCGTCCATAATAGATTTAATTGCACCTCATCTTGCTATTATTTTTAATACTTGTATCGATTATGGTGTGTTTCCTGATTTAATGAAGTATAGTAAAGTAATACCTTTATTTAAATCTGGTAGTACATTGGAGCCCGCTAATTATAGATCTATTTCTGTACTACCAACTCTCAGTAAAATTTTTGAAAAAATAATTTTGGATCAATTGTTAATTTTTTTAATGCAAATAAATTACTTCATAAAAATCAATTTGGTTTTACAAGGGGTCGCTCGACGTCTGATGCCGGTGTTGAGTTTATGAAATATATTTTTAATGCCTGAGAGAATTCACAAGATGCCTTAGGTATTTTCTGTAACCTTTCCAAGGCTTTCGATTGTGTTCATCATGAGACATTAATCAGGAAACTACAACATTACGGTGTAAAAAATTTGGCGCATCAATGGTAAATGTTCCTCCGGATCGGTAGTATCAATGGGCGTTCCTCAGGGCTCGATTCTTGGCCCATTCCTGTTCTTAATCTATATTAATGACTTACCTTATCTTGTAGGGGACAATCACGGTATAGTATTATTTGCTGACGATACCTCTTTAATTTTCAAACTGAAACTGCAGTCAATTAAATATGACGATGTAAATAATGCTCTATCGAAACTAGTACATTGGTTTAACGCCAAAAATTTGCTCTTAAACGGCAATAAGACAAAATTTATTAAATTTACAATACCTAATGTAAAACATTCGAAAACCAATGTCCTCTTAAATGGGGAAGAGTTGAGTCTTGTGGATACCACTGTTTTTCTTGGTATTACTGTTGACGCGAAACTTCAATGGGGCCCCCATATATCTAAATTAGCAAACAGACTTAGTTCTGCAGCATATGCTGTAAGAAAGATTCAAGTCTCACAGATGTTGAGACAGCTAGGTTAGTGTATTTTAGTTACTTTCATAGCGTAATGTCTTATGGAATTTTGCTATGTGGTAATGCGATATTGAAGCTATATTTGTTTTGCAAAAGAGAGCCGTACGGGCGATTTATAATCTAAATTGTAAAGAGTCCCTCAGAGAAAAATTTAAAGAAATAAACATATTAACTTTGGCATCGCAATATATTTATGAAAATGTAATGTATGTACACAGACTACATGTAGACTCCACAGAATTAATAGGGCCATGTATACGCATATAAATTAAATAAGAATTAATAGGGCAATGTATGCCCCATAAATTTATATATGTATATATAAATTTATGGGGCAATGTATACGCTTTTACAACAAAATCCCAGAACATGTTCAAAGTTTGTCAATAAACAAGTTTAAAAGTTTTATTAAAGAAAAACTGTACAAAAAGGGTTACTATAATATCAAGGAATACATGAATGAAAATAACCCCTGGGAATAAGGTGATCGCCACCATGCTGGTTCTATGAAAATTCTTTAAAATTGTATAAACAAAATTATTGTTAAGTGAAATTATGTTTAAAAAAAAAAGGGTTTCTTGCTGGTTCTTCCCAGAACAGAGGTATTTTCCGAACCAGTGGTAAATAAAATAATGACTTTCAATAAGTATTATGTAATAATCCATATTGAATAAAAATCATTCTATTCTATTCTATCTATTCTAGTGCCTGACTGCCTGTGTTGGTAAACAGATCCGAAACAACACGACCGTTATTACTAGAATTTTTAACCCTTTCGCTGTCCCGTGCACTACATAAAGGTCATTGCTATTGTCTTACTATCATTGAATTGTGTCTGGAAACCGAACAGTGATAGTGTTAAGTTTAAAGAGACAGAAATTGCTACTACCCTCCGGTTCGCCGGTGGCCCGTGTTGCTCTTTGAATAATTATATTAATATGAGTTGCAAAATATTGTAAATATTAAACTCTTTGTTATTATTTACTATTTATTTACCGTTGATTTTAATGTATGTAAATAAAATGATTTTTGCTAACAGATTTTTATCATCAACTAGAACAACTAATTTTCAAAGCGTAAGCCCACTGCGGAGGTTGTGCTGAAAAGCCACGTCTTTCAGCCTCTGGTTGAACGGCGTAAGGATTACGCATCACATCTAACAGGAATCTCACCTGGACAGACAAAGTTTATGAAGGAAAGCTTAATTCTGATATCAATAGTATTTTTTATGAAAAGATATACTATATTAGAACAATAATTTTCTTTTTTTTTATTTCTATTCTATAGCAAATTACCCTTGAATTCCACAACACATAGGACTTTAAAGCGTGTCACAAGCGACTAAATATCGTTATCTCTTCTAGTACGTAGTACATTTTACTTCAGTGCGTAAATTCCATTTTTATTGAAGTAAGGATGACAAACGAGCACACAGAATACATTTTTGTTAAATGTTTGCTGTAACCTAGACACCTGCTATCTATCATCGAATAAAGAGCCTTATTCACGATCCATCTTGCTGTACGCCCCGCCTAGGTCATGCACGACGCACGACGCAAAACGTACAAAGTAGGCTTAACGTACGTCAATAATTACGTAGGTACGTCAAGCTTACTCATTGTAGTTTTGCGTCGTGCGTCATGCATGACTTAGGCAAGATGGACCGGGAATAAGACGCTTAAGAATCAAGATGCGTTGTTACTTCCGAAGGCTGTTACTAGTAAAAAGGGTGTACAGTTTTCGTCAATAAACTTGCCAAACAGTAGTATTATACTGCTATTTCATATTGGTATTGTGTGCATGCAAGTAGGTTCCCCGGTTCAACCGACCCGTTCCTGCTGAAGCCATAATAAATAATTTGCCGGTAGCCGGAGCTCTGTGCTTATGTTAGCAGGGAGTATAAGCCACAAGAGATGATGATATTAATAGCAGTTGTTACATCCGTGGAGCAGATAAAAAATAGCAAAGCGAATAATCTCGCATCAGTAATGCTGTTCTCTGACATTAGTAAATTTGGTTGACAAGCTGCCTTGCGCTGGCGGTATAAGATAATCATTCACCCTATTTCATTCTAGTGTATGTTGAAATATAAGGCGATTATAGAAAATTCTAGAAAATCTAATGCCTTCTGTTTGATGACAGTATAACAAATATATTATGATCAATCTAAATATGCAGATAATATATAGTAATAGTAAATGGTGTTGGTAAGAGTTCAAAAGATAGTAATTTCTCGAATAATCTTGGTTGCTCCATTTAAAAAAAAAAACGTTACCGCCATACTAGGATTTTCTCCTGTATGGTGGAGGCAGTTTATAAACATAAATTGCACAACGACAAACATCCAGACCCGGAACAATTATTTGTAGGTCATAGAAATACTTATTCCGTACGGGATTCGAACCCGTGGCGCACTGGCTTTGCTATGAGTTGCTGCGCCGCGGGCGCCGCGGGTTCCGCGGCGTAGCATCTAATAGCTAAGCCAGTACGCCACGGAGCCGTCAAATTCTAAATCATTGTATGATTCACTTACTCGATTTATGTGAGTCCTAGGGCTTAAGGTAAGAATATTTAAAATATAAACAGCGCACTAACTTTCCCAAAATCATTCATTTCAGCATCCTGTATAGCTTCATGCAGCAGCCAATTACGCGGCACGTATACTGGGTTAACGTTTAGCATGCGCCTGCGACGTTCATCCTCGAACGTACCTAAAGAACCTGCATCTACTGAAAAAATTAGATACAAATACAAATAGTTTATAATACACAACACACTAACGAGAAACGCCGTTAATTATTGCGTTGATGGGTGTTGAATATAGGTGTGGCCACCACTTGACGCGATAATTTTACAACGGCATTAACAATGCCGTTTGCCGTTGGGCGATAACTCTAGTGGCGGTACATCAAAGAGATTAACGCACGAATTAACGCGTTGAAGCGGCCACACTGCGTTTGTCTCATTGTGCACGGTGAGCGCAACGGGATCGCACGTATGGCTATGGAGTGGAATAATGAAAAAAATCTTTGTATTCTTTTTTTCTTCGTCCGGCGATGATAAAATATATTAATATAATAAAAATTTACACACATCAAATATACGTCCATCTTGCTTGAAATTCAAGGAACATTAACGCCAACTTTAACGCCGTTCAACGGCATTGAAATTGAAATAACAGTGACCGTTCCGTTAAGTGTCTTTATCGCGTTAAAATTAAGGCAATAATTGTTGTGTTTATAGACATTGACAATTCTCGTTACTGTGGTCCCACCATTACTGTAACTTACGAGTAGGCTAATACAATTTTCAGTAATTGGTGCTTTATTTTAAGCAAATAATAATGTTTGGAGGAAGCACCGCTCTTCTATTGAGAGTTTACAAAATAGACTAGAAAACGTCCATATATCAGGGTAGTCTGAAAAGTTTCCGACCTCAACGTGAAGATGGCAGCACTCGTCAATAAACGCTAGTGAATGTATGAATGTTGTGCATCTTTTGACAGTTACGCACCAAAATTACAGACATTTTGCACGCGTACCGCGTAGTTGTTATTTGACAATCATTTGAGTGAGTCGATGTGAGGGTTTTTATGAAAATGAAAAAAAAATTAGTATTGACCTGTCATTAAATCATTGTTTTTGAAAAGCAATACGCCTACGCAAATCAAAGATAAGTTGGACTCTGTCTGTGTATGGGAGTCTGCACCATCATTTACCACAGTGAAATTTTGAGCAGCTTAATTTAAACGTGGCCGTGAGAGCTAGGGAGACGTTGAATGGTTGGGACGTCCAAAAGCTGCAACTACTGACGACAACATCGCTAAAGTTTAAACCATCGAATCACCATCGACATCAATTAAAGTGAGAGAGATAGAAAAGGCTATGAAAATGCCAAAAGAACGTGTTAGTCACATATATTAAATAAAGATTTAGGCATGAGAAAGCTGTCAGCGCGTTTGCTCACGTTAGACCAAAAACGTGTTCGAATGAACATTTCCAACGCTCTGTTGGCGCAATAAATCCGAGTTTTTGTGCCGATAAATTACGTAGATGAAACTTGGATACACCATTAAACGCCCGAAACAAAAATACAGTCAAAACAGTTTACTGCAACGGGGGAACCGGCTCCAAAAAAAAAAACTCTTTTTTGGGCTGGGAAAGTGATCGCGGTTTTTTGGAGATAGCCATGGAGTTATCTTAATTGATTATCTTCAAGAAGGAGAAACCATTACAGGAGCATACTACGCATCATTACTTGAGAAACTGAAGGCAGCAATAGCGGGTAAAACGGCCACATTTGTAGAAAAATAAAATCCTGTTTCACCATGACAACGCTCCGTCTCATACCTCAGCGGTTGCCATTGCGAAAATCCACGAATTACGGTTTGAATTGACCATCCGATTTAGCCCCAAGCAACTTGTTTTTGTTCTCTCGACTAAAAATTGCGCTCGGCGGACAGAAACTTTCATAAAAGCTTTTACAAAAATTTACTTCGCAAATATCCGCTTATAATAATTTTCTTTAAAGAACTTAATATAATTTATCAAATAGCGGTCTCTAACGGTTTTTCAAAAAATCTCATTAACAATTTAATTAAAAAGAAACAAAAGCATGTTATTCGCAACTCTCTGTACGCGGTTCAACCTCAAAGTGTTCATCGATATGTGAGCAGTTTGACCTACTTAGGCCCCATATCTGAAAAAGTAGCTAATACTCTTCGACAAAACGGCGTTCATGTGGCGTTCAAAACAAACAATTCTCTTAGAAATATCTGTAATAGTAAAGATAAGTTGGATATTCGTCAAAAGTCAGGTGTTTACAAACTTGTTTGTGACGAATGCCACGCCGTTTACGTGGGTCAGACTGGTCGCAATTTCGAGACACGTTATAAAGAGCATTTAGCCGCGTACAGGAATTGCAATCCCGATAAATCCCATTTTGCCAAACATCTTTTGGACACTGGACACAACCTAGCCAACGACCACTCCTTTAAAGTCTTACATACGTATAATAAAGGGCTGCGGCTATGTGTGCTGGAACAGTTAGAGATATTAAAAAGTAATAATAATACCGTTGCATTGCTGAATGAACAAACAAATGTTACTAACTCACCTCTCTTAAATATCTTCAAGCCTGCTCTGTAATAATAGAGAACCTCGCAATATGGTCGTTTGTCACCCTCACGGTGATCGGCGATTGGTTGCGTGATTAGAGGGTGGGCGTTGCGCGGCGGTTTGTTTTTAATTTTACAAACGGCTGCGTAAGTCCAGCGGTGATTGGTCGCATGTTTTATCGCATGACGCAGTCGCTCGCTCATTAGCTAGAGAGCGGTTGCATCATCGGTTTGTATAAAAGGCACTTGTTTTGGCTCGCCGCTCACTTAGCGGTTAGCCACCGTAGAGTCTATATCACCTGAGGATGCCTCGTGTAGAGGCGAAACACGTGTCGTATTATCATCAGTGGTGTGTCTTGCCTAGTGTAGTGGTGTTGGGAGTAGCGGTGCTGGGATTAGTGGTGACGGGGATAGTGCACGCAATTGAGAGAGAGCGGGAGGTGCTTCTTCATACTAGGTAAGACACATCATTTTATTTTATAACGCGGATATTTGCGAAGTAAATTTTTGTAAAAGCTTTTATATAATTGATTTCCGCAAAGTAACGCCTGATTCTATTAATTACAGAAACTTTCATCAAATGAGGAGGCAATCACCTTCGTGAACAAATATTTTGCTGAGAAAAACGCCGAGTATTATTTGGACGGATTAGAGAGAAGGGAGCATCGCTGGGCGGAGTGTGTAGAATTACAAGGAGACTATGTAGAAAAATAAAAATAAATTTGAATTTATATCTTTGTTAGATCCGAAACTTGTCAGACCACCCACGTAAAATAAACAAAAAAAAGAATTACAATTTAAACTTTAAAATAAATAAGATACCTACTCAGCTACTGTGGATAGCATTTTTTTTAAAGAATAAGGAGAACAAACGAGCACACAGTCCACCCGATGGTAAGTGGATGCTGTGGCACATTTATTCTCAATTGGATCATTCTACCGTGAGGTGAAATAAAATAAATAAAAATAAAAATCAACCTTTTGTTTATTTATGTAAAAAATAATGACATAGTTAAATATACTAAGAAATGAAAAAAAAATAGCTTTTTCCGTTTTTAACAATAGACAGGAGTGACCACGAAATCGACAGGAATTAACATTTTTGGCCTTAAAGTCATAAACTTAATAACATAACATCAACACAAACTTCTAACAACAAATAATTTAATATTGTCAGTCTTATAATTATTCTGGCCACATATTAACTAATCAAAGTAGTACAATAAAAAATAAACAAAAATAGACAACATAAGTGACATCATTTCTATCGATTATTCAAAAGATTTTTTCGTCACTTGAGGACGATAATATACGAAGTTGATCCCAATACCAATACAATCCCATTCGAATCCAATCCAATACAATATCCATCCAAGATCAAAACTTGTCTTGGATAGATATTGTAGATGGAATCATCAGTTGCAGAAAAACTTCAATCAAAACGATTCTCTTCATCGTTTTCATCCCTTCTAGATTCAGGGTTGCCTCGTAGAAATTTAATATATTATAAGTATTCTGGGTATAAGAGTCAAAGCTGGCGATAACGAACGCAAACTAAGATGATCCTTATTTCTTGAAACTAGTGAGTCCTGGAGAGTTGGATTAGGCAAAGGAGATTTTAACAGTGACTCTGGTGAACCAGTAACAACATCTCTTGTTTTTTTTTTTGTTAAAAACATGATGAAATGATGTTGGAAACATATTTCATCAGACCCGTAATCAGTTACATGGCGTCTAAACAAGTACCCTTGAACGTAAATGTGGTACCTTTATTCGAAATGGCAGATATATGATCGTAATGTGCCTCAACAACAGGTAATATTTGGACATTATTTTTATAAGATAGGGTGACAAACGAGCACACAGTCCACCTGATGGTAAGTGGTTGCTGTGGCCCATAGACATCTACATTATCCTCATTTGCGAATCAAAATGCAGATGCGTTGTCACCCGTGAGGACTAAGATGGAATGCCTCTTTTCTAATAAAAAGGGTCTCCGGTTCTCTACACTCACCATACGAAACACAGCAGTGTTAAGCTGCTATTTTACGCTGTTATTCTGTGAGGGCGTGATCCTTCCCCGGTCGAGCCGATCCATTCGTGCTACAACTATACTACTAATGTAGCTGCAGCATGGCTCTACCACGTGTAATATGCAGGTCCCTGGCTAAATAGTTTTCAAGTAGCAAAATCCTCTCTCTTAAATATTTCTTTTCTTCTCTTATTTTACTTCGATTTTTCTCTGCAATCTGCTATCCCATTGACATTTTTTAAAGATCTGGAGCTTTTCGGTACTGGTTATAAAGGCGATGTTTCATTTGTAAGTCTAATGTCAGTTTCTATGAGTTCCTTTTCTTTTCACGGTGTTTTCGAGTACATTCTTGCCTTTCTTTTCGCACTCGTTTTTGTATTTTTGGAGTCAGATTATTGATACCTTTATATATTTTACTAACCCCTAGTCTTTCCTATTTTTGTAGTTTTCCCAACTAACCTCCTATAGTATTGCTGCCTACGCCGATCCTTCTTCTCTTTGTCTATCAACATCCTTTCAACCACCTATAGTGTAGTGGTAGTAATAACTATAGTTTTGAAGATTTCGTGATTACTCAGTTAAAATGTGATTTAGTAGTATTTTAAAGTTTGATAGAGTTTATGTAAGATCCTTGAACTATAACTAAATTTTGTCGTAAGCTTTATATAATAAAATGAAATATAAATAACAATATATTAATAAATCCTATCAACGCTTAAATTTGGTAGAAATTTAATTAAAAGAATAATATACGAATTAGATAGTTATTTTTAGGTGTTTTATAAATTCATAACAGCTACTTCAACACAAAATATTAAACACACCTTTTTTCTCAAATTACGCGTCACACCTGGTGGAGACAACCATGGAGATAACGAACAAAATCGGCTTTGAATTTCTTATTATTTAATGTAATACTTGATTTGCCCTGACAAGCGTTGTTTAACAGAGTAATGTATAATAAACATAGGCGGTAGTCACTTCGGTCGAGAGTCGTCATTTCTGTCGACAAAATAGTCGACAGAATTGACTTCGACAGAAGTGACAAATTTTAATCTACTTAAGTTAACAGCTACAATTTAGAGGTAATAATATCCATTGTTGTTTCGGAACTACGTGAAACCTTTTTTCTACAAGGCTGAGTGTGGCGATTTATTTTATCATGTTAGTAACCTTTTATTTTTTTGCTCTAAGACTAACTCTTCAACTTTAACACACTTGTAGAACCTCTTTTCAATTTAAAATTTTCAACAGCTCGCTTTTGTTCGATCAAAAAATGTGACTTATCACTGACGGGTAAGCACTAATATTGCCATAAAAAGCGAAACAACGTTAAAATAATAATCTTTCTGATTCTAGAATTCAAAATCTTACATGTCGACAGTTGTGACAAAAAATTTATAACGCTTGTAGAAACATCAATATTTTTTATAATTGTGTGACATAATTTTTAAAAGTCTTTCAATCCTAATGTTAAGGACAGGTATCGTTTCAAAAATTATAGGTTTAGCTAGTAGCTTAAGAATTTCTATTTTTAAGTAGCCGTTAAACCTTCAGAGGGCGTCGGCGAACAGTCGACAGACCATGACACGTCACGTATTGTCGACACGTTTTTATTAATTAAATCGTCACTTATCTACAAAATAATGAATGTCAAATATAGATGGTGATGTCCCATTTAATATCACAGCATATAACGAATCAGGAAGTCGTATTCATGAAGTTACATTACGCGAACATAAATTTCTCAGGTTCATAGAATGACCCAGTTAAGAATCAAAATGCAGATGCTTTGTCACCCCTGAGGTAGAACGCCTCGTTTCCAGTAAAAAGGGTCACTAGTTCTCTACACTCACCATACGAAACAGCAGCGTTAAGCTGCTATTTTACGCTGGTATTCTGTAAGAGCGTGGTCTTTCCCCGGTCGAGTCGACACATTCGTACTACAACCATAATATAGCTGCAGCGTGGCTCTACCACGTAAAATTAAAGACAATAGAACAAGTGTTTTATTTTATACCTCATAGCAATTTTCTACATACAATAGTGTTGTTTGATTTATTTCTCCTACTAATATAAACTTTAGGTATACAAAATGCTTTATGAAACTCACGATAATTTGAGAAATATAAAGTAATTAGACTACAACCCATTACATATTTATTCCATAGGAACCGATTTTCTGATAGCTAGATATAGCGATGAAGTGCTCGCACTTAAATACTTTCGTTTCTTTACATCCAACGTTTTCTACAGTCATTAAAATAACTATATATAACTAATCTTATAATAACTAACCAGCTTCTTTGTCCAATCGTTCTCTATATTGGTCAAGCCAACAGCCCCATGAAGCGTGCGAGGATAGTCGCTTCAGGGACCATTTCTCCGCCAATTTTATTTCGCTTACCATTTCGCTTGGTTCCAGCTGAGAATTAAGAATTTTTTTATTCAAAAAACTCAAGAGTTATTACTTACTTGCTTATCTTCACGCACAATCCCTGACAGGGTAGCCAGAGAGAACAGATCGCCAAGTGTCACGATCCTTACAAACCCCTTTCGCTTCTTTCAGATTCATTATCTTCTTCATGCATGCACGTCTAGGTATCCGAGTACTCTTGATCCTACCCTCTTCGAGCAATTTGCTCACATGGTCTTCGAAAGTTAGTCTCGGTCTACCTCGACACCTTTTAATATTAACTTTCGCGCTATATATTTTCTTCACCATTCGGTCTTCACTCATTCGCTCAACGTGCCCAAACCACCGAAGCACGCCCTTATCAATTTTTGTGATAAGGTCATCTTTCAAACCTGCCATATATACCATAAGAGTTATTAGAGAGAACATTATAACCTATCCTTGTAACTGTTGAAGAAGGCATTGATTTTAAATGTTAACGTAGATATTTTACAGCACTGTTTGCAGAAACATTAACTTTTTTATTCAATATAGATTATAAATAATACTAATAGAAAGTCACTCTTTTGTTTAATTACCGTCGGTTCGGAAAAATCCTCTGTCCTGGGAAGAACCTACAAGAAACCCAGATAGTTATAATATAGGCAATGCTAGATTTTTCTTATGTGGCAGAGCCACGCTGTAGCTATATTGCAGCTCGACCGCTCAAAGACCACGCTCTGCGGTGTCCTAAAAAAATAATTAAATGCGTTGTCAACTCCGAGGTCGAAGATGTAATGTCTGGTTTCCAGTCCAACTGTGGTCTCCAGTTCTCTACACTTTCCATACGAAACACAGCATTAATCTGCTGTCTCAAACTGTTATTCTGTGAGAGCGTGGTCCTACCACGTCGTGCTGAGCGGTTCGTGCTGCAGCTATGTATAACTACCATAGCTGCAGTATATAACCATCTAAGAAAATATTTTATAAATTTCATTCCAAGCATCAAGAATTCATGACGTTCACAATTCCATAATGACCGTGTAGTGACGGTGTAAGAATATCCACTACCCCATATCGTCCCGTGAGTGTTGTAAGAGGCAACAAAGGGAAACAAGCCAGGAGATGGGCAGCAGCGTCTTAATGAAAACCACTCATAATAATAATAAAACTGCGGTTGCCAAACCGCCTGCCAAGCGTGGCAACTATAGGAAAATATGTGTGAACTTTTATAGTCTGTTATGGATGACAATTATTATTATTCTTATTTCTAACCGTGGTAGAGCCATGCTGCAGCTATATTAATTGTATAGTTGTAGCACGTTTGGCTAGACCGGGAAAGGACCACGCTCTCACAGAATACCAGCGTAAAATAGCAGCTTAATGCTGCTGTGTTTTGTATGGTGAGTGTAGAGAACCGGACACCCTTTTTACTGAAAATGAGTCATTCCATTTTATTCCTCATTGATTGCCCTCAGGGACAAGCATTGAGCTGCTATTTTACGCTGAACATTCTGTGAGAACATGGTTCTTCCCCGGTCGAGCCAAGCAATTTGCAGCTACAACCATAATATAAACGGATGTTGCATCCCTTTGCATTTACTATTGTAACTATCACGGAGAGTGTTTTGACGAATTGTTCGGATTAATTCCATCCGCCAAATTTCACGTACGCACATCGCATCAAAACTCACGATACCTTTCACACCATCTGGATGTTTGCCGGTTCACCACTGTGCGTTTTATTGGGATTACCGCTGGCGATTTTTCGGGACCGATAAGACTTACGGACCTTCAAGAAAAGAGCTTACTCCTTTCTAAAAGGCCGGCAACGCACCTGGAATTCCCATGGTGTTGCAGTTGTTCATGAGCGTCGGTAGTCACTTCCCATCAGGTGAGCCACATGATCGTTTGCCCCCTCTTCCATAAAAAAATATAGCTGCAGCGCAGCTCTACCACGTTAAAATGTCAATTTGGAACGTAAATGTTGAATATGCGCAAGTATCTTTTTTTTTCTTTTTTTTTTGGAATCAGCTTTGCTGTGTATCTGTTGCAGGAAGATAGTTAAAGCCGTTATATAGTTACATCCTATATAGTTGTAAACAGATATATAGCTATATATCGGTTTATAACCATCTTACTATACTAAAATAATTATAATTGTAAACTGAATGTACAGCAGGAACAAATTTCGCGACATTGACGTTCCTGTTGTGTTGTTGTTCATGTTCATTTGTTGACAGTAGGTTAATGTGCGGCTGGTGTGACTTTTGGGCCATCCTAAAGCCGAATACATTATAACGATATAAAATGCATATATATTATCAAAATCTCAATAGAGCTAGAAGTAAAATAGATATACTTTATAAAAACTTTCTGAACTCTCATTACGATTTGATATGTCTAACTGAAACAAATTTCGATGCTTCTGTATACGATGGGGAACTGTTTGACGAGCAATACAATATCTTCCGTAGAGATGGCGATACCACTTGTATTAAAAAGTATAATAAAGACGATGGAGGCGGTGTCCTCGTAGCAGTTAAAAAACATTACTCTGCTGTCAGACAGGTCTCCTGGGAAAGCAAACTAGAGGATATCTGGATTAGCATATTGCCTCCTAAAATTAATGGTCAGACAATGTCACAGACAATGGTCTAATGTATGCGTTTGCAGATAGCAATCGTTTGCTATCTGCCTCCCTATCTAAACCTGATGACCTGTCAAACTTCTATTCAAATCTTCAAAACATTATCCTAAAATCAAATGAACAGAATTCATTTGCATTATTTGGCGATTTTAATGTACCCAATGTCTCATGGATTCTGTCAAGCGATGGCAGTATGACAGCTAGCTGCAATGAGATGGACTACAAGAGCGAACTGTTGTTAGATACTGTGGCACTCTGTGATCTGTCACAGTTTAACTCCATCCCTAATAATAACAATAAGATACTAGATTTTACTCTTAGCACTTCCGGAATATGACCATCACCAACGAGAAGACCTCATTAAAAGAAGATAAACATCACCCTGCCTTACTGATTGATTTTCAAGACTCAAATTCTTTTAATTATAAACCTCTGAAGGTCAATGAGTCAAAGCGTCTAAATTTCTATAAATGCCAATACGAAACTGTAAAGCAGAGAATTAATGATACCAACTGGTCAGATCTACTTTATGGGGCAGACGTAGATGAGGCTGTGGCTAGATTTTACTATGTGATCTATGGAATTATTAACGATTGTACTCCCACAGTTAAGAACCGCTCAAATAAATATCCCAAATGGTTCAGTCCTGTCTTGCGTCGTTGTATGCGGGAAAAAAACAAATACCACGTGCGCTACAAAAAATACAAAAACCCACGAGATTACGATACATTCTCTCTCCTCCGGGCTAGATACAAAAAACTCATAAATTGTTGTTACAATGAATACATCAGATTTATCGAAAATGGTTTGACAAAAGATGTTAAGTCGTTTTGGAGATACGTTAACAGCAAGAGACGCAACAACTTGAGTTTCCCCGACTCAATGACATTTAGTGAAACAACGGCTACTGGTGGTAGGGAAATCTGCGATCTGTTTTCAAAATTTTTTGGGTCAGTATTCGAAGATCATAGTCACGGATCGGGGATATACGATTGTTGTATTCATACAAATAGTCTTCTCACTAAAATCGTACTCACTGAAAACGAAATATTATCAAAACTGAGGCGTCTTGATTCCAACAAGGGAGTCGGCCCTGACGGCATTCCACCTATATTCCTGCGGGTATGCGCAGATGAACTGTGTCGCCCGCTTCAGCTAATATTTAATAAATCACTGAACAGCGGTGTGTTCCCGTCTCGCTGGAAAAAAGCTAACATTGTTCCTATATTTAAATCTGGTGACCGAGACAACGGTGACAATTATAGACTCATAAGCATTTTGTCAGCAGTATCCATATTATTTGAATCAGTAGTATTTGATCATCTCTATTTTCATTTAAAACCTCTTATATCAACTAAGCAGCACGGATTCATCAAAAGGAGATCGACAGTCAGTAACCTTAAGAAGGTTCACTTCACTTCAAAACCTACATATTCGATGCTTTTAACAACCGTGGTCAGGTAGATGCTATATATACCGACTTTAAGAAAGCGTTCGATAAAGAGGATCACGCAATTTTATGTAAAAAACTCGAGACGTATGGTATGAAAAACAGGAGTCAGCTCGTGACCGTCAAGGGGTACACATCAGAAGAAATCGTCATTAAGTCTGGTGTTCCTCAAGGATCCCATTTGGGCCCGTTACTTTTTGTGAATTTCATTAATGACCTCATTGGTAAAATTCAGTCCCCTTGCCTATTATATGCTGACGACCTAAAAATATTCAATAGAATTGGTGAAGCTGACGACACACGCATCACACAGGAAGAATTAAACAGCCTGTCTAATTGGTGCAAAGAAAATAATATGTCCCTTAATGTCAAAAAATGCTATGTCATCACCTACACACTTAAAAAAAACAAGGTATCAAACAATTATATCTTAGAACAACAAACTCTGTCTCGTGTGTCGTATATCAGGGATCTCGGGGTCTTGTTTGACGAACAGCTTAGATTCCGCCAAGATTACGATCTCATAGCCAAAAAATCTAACCAGGTACTAGGTTTCGTTACCAGACAGAGCAGGCACTTCAGGAACTCTCAAAGTTTAATTTTGTTATATAACAGTCTGGTTCGAAGTAATTTAGAATATAGTTAAATAATATGGAACCCATACTACGCAGTGCACTCTGAGCGCATTGAATCGATCCAATCCAAGTTTTTGCGTTTATTGAGCTTACGTACCGGCAACAATAGAAGACTCCGGTCATATGCTGAGAGGCTTAAAGAGTTTGACATGACACCACTTCACCTCCGTCGCGACGAATTGGACCTAGTTAACCTACACAAAATAATACACTCGGAACTGGACAGTCCCGAGGTTTTGGAACTGTTAAATTTTAACATAAAACACAACCCACGTAGACCTATGAAAAAAATATTTGACATACCCCTACCGCGAAATAATATCTCCCGGAATCAACCCCTATCAAGGTTATGTCGACTTTATGAGAATTATAGCCTTCGCTTTACCAACCTTGACATCTTCAACTCTAGTCTGGTTCACTTTAGAAATGTTTTGAAAGGCATTCTCAAGGACATCCCCTTTGATTGATATTCACTAAAATCATAGTTCTTAATTTGTTGGATTTATGAGCCTGTTAGTTTAAGCAATTTTATTTAAAATATTTGTTTCTCAATCCGTGATAAACCGTGATAACACGTATAAGGATTATGTCTTGTATTACACTATTATTATTGTAAGTTATAGCTTTAAGTCACGATGTAATCTGTTGTGTTGTCCAATCTAAAAAAAAAATGTAATATTGAAAGAATTTAACTTTTTAATTTCAAAAATCCAAAAGTATTAAGTCAAAAGTAGTTATGAATGACAAATTACGAACAAACTACAATTCCTTTTTTCATATAACTATACCTAGTCAGGTCATAAGTATTATCCCACAGTAAAAACTTTTCTTTTAGAATGCTGGCCACAAAAAAGTTTATTGAATTCGAATTTCGAATTGTTCATGAAAATAAAACCGTATACTTTTTAGAATTTTACTCATTTTTAAATATGGAGTGGACGCTTAAAGAAGACCGTGTTGCAGTTATTGCGTTGCATCGTTGCGGTTATGCGTCAATCCAAATTTGTGACATACTGAAAAATTTGAATATAACCAAAAGATTCGTTTATCGTACCATCAAACGATACAATGAAGACTAGTGTATGTAGATGACAGGTCAAGAAGTGGTCGCCCTCGGTCTGTTAGGACTCCAGCAGTGATAAAAGCTGTGAAGGCTCAAATTCAAAGAAATCCCAAACGTAAGCAGAAACTGTTGGCCCTCCAGATGGGGTTAAGCAGAACCACGGTGAAAAGGGTGTTAACTTACTTAGGGCTTCGGGCATATCGAAGAAAAACAGGACATCGTTTGAATGCTCGTCTAATGGACCTGAGACTGAAGAGATGTCGCGCTTTGTTGAAACGGTACGCGGGAAAAAAATATCGGGAAATTATTTTTTCGGATGAAAAAATTTTTACCGTAGAAGAGAGCTACAACAAACAAAATGATAAGGTGTACGCACACAGTAGTGAAGAAGCGAGCAACCGTATTCCGCGTGTCCAACGAGGTCATTTTCCATCCTCTCTCATGGTATGGTTGGGAGTTTCTTATTGGGGCTTAACAGAGGTAAATTTTTGTGAGAAAGGTGTAAAAACGAATGCAGTTGTGTATCAAAATACAGTCCTGACGAACCTTGTGGAACCTGTTTCTCATACCATGTTCAATAACAGGCACTAGGTATTCCAACAAGATTCGGCGCTAGCTCATAGAACGAAGAGCACACAAGACTGGCTGGCGGCGCGTGAAATCGACTTCATCCGGCACGAAGACTGGCCCTCCTCCAGTCCAGATTTGAATCCGATTACAAGATATGGCAACACTTGGAGGAAAAGGCGTGCTCAAAGCCTCATCCCAATTTGGAGTCACTCAAGACATCCTTGATTAAGGCAGCCACCAATATTGACATGGACCTCGTTCGTGCTGCGATAGACGACTGGCCGCGCAGATTGAAGGCCTGTATTCAAAATCACGGAGGTCATTTTGAATAAACTTTAGTGTCATAAGAATCTATGTTTTGTTAAGTTCATTTTGGTATATAAATGGTTACATAATGAATAAACTTGTTTCAATTATTTTATATTAAACATGTGACAGAATTCATTACCTGACTAGATATATTTCATATTACGGTATATAGCTATATCCCTAGGGACATAACTAAATCACGGCGTTAACTATCTCAATGCGACATATCGATACCACGTAATGATTTACCTCAGAAAGTTGTCGAAACGTCAAAGTGAAGTCAGCGCCAGTTTGTTGCATCATGTCCAAAAGTTTCTCGACCAGCTGCTCGTCACCCCATCGCTCTTCTTTCAAACCGATTTTCATTAAAAACGTTTCTCTGCAATAATCGAATACTTAATACCTATTGTGCGGTCTATCGACATTCTCTTCGGAACGGAACGTAATTAGGATCGATTTTCGTTTGATCAGCTGCTATGAGACTGAAGAGATCTTTGACATATTTTCTCATAAAGGTATTATTTGTTTTTGATTCAACTAAAAAAAATCTCGATCATCTAACGCCACGCGTAAAATAGCCATCCTTTTTGTGTTTTATATGATATATTTCGAATAGTGTGCGTAGGAATTACATGACTGATGAATTCAACGTATGTCTCAAAATATATATATTGAATTATACTGACGCCTGATTGTTCGCGCCAGTCAGTCTAGACTTGTGTGTATGTTACGTTGCGCTTGTGTGTATTTTATCGAAAAATTACGATACAATATCGTGATCTGGCATTTGTCAGGTAAGTAGCATAATTAATCTGTCTTTGTTTTTTTTATAGGAGAGGGGGCAAACGAGCATGCGGCTCACTTGATGGTAAGTGACTACCGCCGCCAATTTACCAATCTACCGAAATTGCAGATGCGTGGCCGACCTTTTAAAAAGGAGTAGGAGTAGGAAATTGAGCGGTTGGAATTAGTCAGAACAATTCCTTAGAGCACTACCCGTGATAGACGCGATAAAATACGCAAAGGGATGCGACATCTCTACACAGTGCCAGTGAGTCAAGCCGATCGGAAAAAAACTGGGTCGTCGACGATTCGAATTGCTCTGCGCTGGATGCGGTCAATTGGAAGGAGCTGACTCTGGGTAGCCCCTACCCAGAGATGGGAACAGCATTCCATGTGGAACCGAACCTGCGCTTTATAAAGTTGCAAGCGGTGTGCCGGCATGAAATACTGCCCCGCTCTGCTGAGCACGCCAAGCTTTTTAGAGACCAATTTGGCCTTCTCTTCCAAGTGAACACGAAACTGCACATCACTCGATATTTCGACGCCGAAGGTAAAGGATACCGATACTGGCTGAGGCAACAAGGGGAGTGCCTTGAAACTGAGGAGATACGACAAAGGGTTCTTTTTAGCGGTAAACACGCACTTGTATCTCCTGGGGATTGAACTGGACTAGATTTAGTGCCCCCAGCCTGAGAATTTGTTCAACAAAGTCTCGACTTCAGATACAAGTTTATTCCGGTACTCGGCAACGTTATCCCGAGAAATATTGGCACGGCCGGTGTATAAAGCATCACCAGTGCTGTCGTCTGCATAACAATGTATGTTACCAGTTTATAGATATTGTGCGCAAATTTTTTATAGGAGAGGGAGCAAACGAGCATGCGTCTCACCTGATGGCAGGCGACTACCACCGCCCTTGAATAACTGCAACACCAGGAAGGGAATTGCACATGCGTTGCCGGCCTTTTAAAAAGGAGTACTAGACCCGTGGTAGATGCGAAAGAAAATGCAAAGGGATGCAACATCTCTTCGCAGCGCTAATGAATCGAGCCGATCGAAAAGGACTCGGTCGTCAACGATTCGAGCCGCTCTGCGCTGGATGCGTTCAAGTGGAAGGAGCTGGCACTGGGGAGCCCCTGCCCAGAGGTGGGAACAGTATTCCATGTGAGGCTGAACCTGCGCCTTGTTAAGTTGCAGGCGTTGTGCCGGCATGAAATACTGTCCCGCTCTGCTGAGCACACCAAGCTTTTTAGAGGCCAATTTGGCCTTCTCTTCCAAGTGGCCACGAAACTACACGTCACTCGATATGTCGACGCCGAGGATTCCGATACCTGCTGTGACAATAAGGAGAGTGCCTTGAAACTGAGGAGATACGACAAAGGGGTTCTATTTAGCGGTAAACGCGCAAACTTGTGTCTTCTGAGGATTAAACTGGAGTAGATTTAGTCGCCCCCAATCCGATACTTTGTTCAGCAAAGACTCGACTTCAGACACAAGTTTGTTCCGGTACTCGGCGACGTTTTCCCGAGAAATATTGGCACGGCCGGTGATAGAGCATCACCGGTGCTGTCATCCGCATAGCAATGAATGTTACCAGTTAGCAACATATCATTGATATGCAGAAGAAACAGCGTTGGTGATAGCACACAGCCTTGTGGAACACCAGCGTTAATAGGCTTGTAGTCAGAGCATGCACCGTCTACAACGACCTTGATGCTCCGATCTGCAAGGAAGCTGGTGATCCAATTGCATAATTTCTCGGGAAGCCCATAGGAAGGGAGCTTCGAAAGAAGCGCTTTGTGCCAAACCCGATCGAAGGCCCTCGCAATTTCCAGACTAACGGCCAACGCCTCCCCCTTGGACTCTACTGCCTCCGCCCATCTATGGGTCAGGTAGACCAGAAGATCACCAGCTGATCGACCCCGACGAAAACCGTATTGGCGGTCACTAATCAGCTGGTGATCCTCAAGGTACCGTCACACTATGCCGGTAGTTGTTGGGAGCACTAAGCTCGAAGTTGTTGACGAGTATGTTTACCTGGGACAAATAGTCCGACTAGGTAAGTCCAACTTCGACCGAGAGGTCAATTGACGGATTCAACTCGGTTGGGCAGCGTTCGGGAAATTACGGCATATCTTCTCGTCGGGTATACCTCAAAACTTGAAAACGAGACTGCACAACCAGTGCGTGTTGCCAGTTATGACATACGGAACTGAGACGTGGTCCTTCACTGCTGGCCGGATGAGGAAGCTTAAGGTCGCTCAGCGAGCTATGGAGAGGGCTATGCTCGGAGTTTCTCTGCGTGATAAACTCAGGAATGAGGATATCCGCAGTAGAACCAGAGTGACCGACATAGCCCAACGGATTAGTGAGCTGAAGTGGCAATGGGCCGGCCATATAGCTCGAAGAACGGACAAACGATGGGGAAAAAAGGTTCTCGAGTGGCAGCCTCGTACCGGCAGGCGAAGTGTTGGGCGTCCCCCCACTAGATGGAGTGATGACCTGGTGAGATGTGCAGGAAGTCGATGGATGCAGGTGGCTCAGGACCGTGCTTTCTGGCATTCCTTGGGGGAGGCCTATATACAGCAGTGGACTTGTGAAGGGCTGTAATGGATGGATGGATGGATGGATATACCTTTTTTTTTCAAATTAAGGTTCTTCATTGTTTGATATTTACAAATGTTATTATTAGGTGAAAATTTAATTTAATAAAAACCAACGTTCCCAGCGTGATTGGAAAAATGAAAAATCATTCATATAATTAGCTGTACCTACTTATATGAATGATTTTTTATAACAACAAAAAATAGTACAAAAGGTTTGTAATCTCTTCATAAAAAAAGTCACTTTCTGTCAGTTTCAAAGAATACGCGTAAAAAACACATAGTTACCCACTAATAACAAGTATCCTTCCATTTGTAACTTATGTTTGATGTCAAATAAACTTAATTAGGTCTAAACAAGTAAAAAAAGTATAAAAAAGAACATTACTTTTACACATGGCGAATGGCACAATAGGCTTAAATGTAAAAATGAAATATAAATGTGGCGCTTGACACGCCAGGCGTGGCATAAAATATTTGTTCGCCGCCACAGCTAAAAGTTATCAAAAATTGGTGCCGCAACGAATCGGTTAAGAGTGTGACCGGAGAGTTTTTACGACTGGTGTTGCAAAACTTAGCTCCGACCGCATGAACAGTTTCCACGAGCTTGTCATTCATATCGTCCACTACTGTAATGCAGTCTTCTAGGTACTGAAAATAGTTTTGTAACTCGACCTGAAAGTTTTCGCGACTTTAGATTAGATCACAAGGGGTACGGAGCGTTGACTTCATTAGACGAGACGTCTCTAACTTAACATTTAGGTTCAGTGTGCCTCTAACCATTCGGTGATCGCTACCAGTTTTCACCCTAGCGATCACTGAGACAACACTCAACATAACAGTTGCTGTCTAGTCGTCATAATGAAGTCAATCTCATGTTTTGTCGAACCGTCGCAGCTCGACTAGGTACACTTTCTGTAAGGCCGCTTCTGAAAGAAAGAGTTCATCATAAAGAGTCCCTCTTTCACCATGAAGTCAGCCAGTTGTTGGCCACTTGGGTTCCGTTGACCTATTTCGAATTTTCCTACCTTCAACTCACCGTTCTCTCTTGTGGCTTAGTTTTGCGTTGAGGTCTCCCATTAACACCGTATTGTGGGTTAATGGGTGAATGGTGGCTCTAGATATATCCTCATATATTTCCTCCACATCCTAATCTGGATGCACCAAGGTTGGTGCGTAAACCTGTATGATCTTCAGCGAATACTGTTAGGTGATTCTGAGTATAAGGTTAACCCTCGTCGACACACTCTCAATCTTTACAACTTTGTTAACGAGAGACTTGTGGATGATAAATCCGACACCTCCTTGGGACAGATGGTCACCCTCCCGGTAATAGAACAAGTTTCCGGATTCGAGGATTATCATGTCCTCCCCTCTCTTCGGACCTCAGATAATCCTATGATATTCCAGCGCAACTTGTCTATCTCTTCTTCCAGCTCCAGGATCTTCTCGTCAGTTCTCAGGGAGCTGGCGTTAAATGTTGCCAGGTCGAGTCGTCTTAGATGGTAACCGAACCTCCACCGGAGATTCTTAGCACCCTCTGCCCCGCCGTTACTATGGTCGCCAGCGAAGCCGGGAATAGCGGGGCCACCAGGGACTGGGGGCCATCTCTTCGTAACTTTAATAATGGTGGGTATATTGGCATAGTTGCCACGCTTGGCGAGTGGGTTGGCAACCGCAATTTTTTATTGTTGTTTTGTTGTTATCAGTAAGATCCTTCTGCCCATCTTCTGCCTCAGTTGCCCTCTGTCGCCTCTTACGACACCCACGGGCAGATATAGGGTAGTGGGTATTCTTACCCGCCACTACACGGGATTTTTTAAATATTAAGGTCCAAAACTTAAAGAAAGTGAAAGTGAGAACTGTTTCTGTATATGACATAAGTGAACAGGACTTGCTTTTCCCATCTAATGTGAAAGGTTTTCCAGGATGCATGAAAATGCATCAAATACCCTGGAACTTGGATTATCCTATGGTAGTTGTTTAGGCCCAA